GTGCAATTAATTTTTCTTTCTGAAATTTCCATTCACTGTAGTGAATTTAGGGTTTGAGACATCTACTGAACAAGCACTTGACACAAGGAGCTCAACGACTACTACATCACCCACAATTGACACATCACGTGTGTATCCAAGCTCTTTAATACTGAATTTATTCATGGCTGTTGATCTTTTTGCCAAAACATTTGTATATCCTGTGTTGCAGTGGACCCTGAGGAACTAATGGCCACATCCCAGCCAACCACTGTATTTCAGACTAGACAAGGAAAGAAGACCATTGATGTGTATTGGCTCTCTGATGATGGGGGTGATTTACACTGATATACAAATAATATGTTCATTTTTAAAGATTTTATTGTGGAAAAACACATCTTTTAACAATTCATTATGTTGTCAGGTCTGACACTATTAGTGCCTTACCTCCTGACCCGTAAGAAGCGCTGGGGCAGATGCAAAGTGAGGTTGTTTGTTGGAGGTGAAGCTCAACAGGTTGAGGAGCAGAAACAAGAGTATGCATAACCTTAATTGTGATACTTTTAGTGGTAACACTTTATAATACCATGTCCGTATTAGACATATTACATGTAAATATATACCACCAAATGTTTAAAAGTTTAGGTTTGTAAAGTTTTTTTATGTTTTTGAAAGAAGTCTCTTATGTTTACTAAGGCTGCATGTTTTTTTTAAATAAAAAAATAATGTAAAAACACTAATATTGTGATTTAAAAAAAATAATAATAATAATGTAAAAACATTAATATTGTTCAATAGTATTACAATTTCTATTTTAAAATGTAATTTATTCCTGTGATGGCAAAGCTGAATTTTCAGAAATCATATAAATCATTCTAATAAGCTGATTCGGTGCTCAAGAAATATTTCTTATTATCAGTATTGGAAACAGTAGTGCTGCTTAATATTTTTGTCAAAACTATAACGCATTTTTTTGATTCTTTGGATGCATAATTTCTAAAAAATAATTATACTAATATTTAATCATATAATGTATTAATAATATTATTTATTTATTAATATATACTTAAAAATATATATCTTAATGAATTAATCTTCATTTATTTATTACTTTTAACAGCATGTATTTAATTGGTCCTCAAAATTTCAAAGTTGATTAAGAGCTTGCATTTGTCAATTTACAGGCTCAAAGCTCTGATCAGCAGGTTCCGTCTGGGTTTCGTGTTGTCAGGTCTGACACTATTAGTGCCTTACCTCCTGACCCGTAAGAAGCGCTGGGGCAGATGCAAAGTGAGGTTGTTTGTTGGAGGTGAAGCTCAACAGGTTGAGGAGCAGAAACAAGAGTATGCATAACCTTAATTGTGATACTTTTAGTGGCAACACTTTATAATACCATGTCCGTATTAGACATATTACATGTAAATATATACCACCAAATGTTTAAAAGTTTAGGTTTGTAAAGTTTTTTTATGTTTTTGAAAGAAGTCATTTTTTTGATTCTTTGGATGCATAATTTCTAAAAAATAATTATACTAATATTTAATCATATAATATATTAATAATATTATTTATTTATTAATATATACTTAAAAATATATATCTTAATGAATTAATCTTCATTTATTTATTACTTTTAACAGCATGTATTTAATTGGTCCTCAAAATTTCAAAGTTGATTAAGAGCTTGCATTTGTCAATTTACAGGCTCAAAGCTCTGATCAGCAGGTTCCGTCTGGGTTTCCAAGATATTCAAGTCCTTCCGGACATCAATGGAAAACCGCAGTCTGAGCAGTACAGTTTCATTCATTCCATTGCTGTTACGGCTTTCTGCACTTACCTATTAAACTAATAGAAAGTATATTCTTATGAAAACAAATGTTGTGTTTGTGTCCCCAAATTACTGAAACAGCATTAAAAGATTTGAAGACCTCATAGCTCCATACAGAGTAAGTTCAGTCCAAAAGGATGGTCAAGAAGCTGATGAGACGACAAAGGATTTCTCCTGGATGGTGTCTGATGAGGAAATGGAAACGTTCAGAGCTAAGGTATTTCAAATGAAGGTGTTCAGATACTTAGACTACTTTCTTTGTAAGCCATGCATCATCGTTTTAAACATTTTTCTCGCATGTTTGTGCAGTCCCTCCGACAAATACGCCTGAATGAAGTTATTCAAGATTACTCAAGAGATGCCGCACTGATCATTGTGTAAGTGTTATTCATACAGGATGTGGTGCCATGATGTAATATAGATTAGGCCTGCACAAAAAGAAAACTTTGATCGACCGGTTTAACTATTAGTTGTGTGAGTTTCTGACATCACCTGTAATTTCTTTTTGGCAGAACGATGCCCGTGGGGCGAAGAGGGGTGTGTCCCAGTTCCCTTTACATGGCTTGGCTAGAGATTGTGTCACGTGACCTTCGACCTCCAGTTCTTCTTGTCCGAGGCAATCAGGAGAATGTGCTGACGATGTACTGCCAGTGAACACCACCTTTTCCTGACATAACTGTTCACACTCGTACAACAAATGAAAAGAAACTCTTATTAATGACATGTTAAAATAATGACAGATTTACATACATTCATATTGTGGTTCATACTTGTTTTGATGTTAATAGGGTGTTTGTTATAAATGGTTTAACCTTTTTTTCGGTATATATTCAAAAATATAAATGTTTGCTGATTTAGGTATTATGACTTATGTACTTTCTCTGTTTATTCTGATTATCTTAACTCAGTGATTGAACAATTTGCATATGTATAGATTTTTTTTCTTTTTAATGGCAACTCTGATATTACTGAATATATTTAATAAATGACTAGGCCTATGTATTAAATCTGTTCCTTCTCAGACTATTATTTTACTTTATGGCACTAAGGCAAACCTAAATCATTTGTTTAGTCATTGAAATGACATGTTTAATCTGCAATTAATCAAAATTAACTCTAGTTTAACTCTAGTAAATATAGTTTTATTTCAATTATTTACAAAGTTGTTTAGTCATGTCAGGTATGACATGGGACAGACCAAAATCATAATTTTTATTGGAAAGCAGACATTTTATGTGTCTAAACTAGCTACTTTAAGGTTAAGCTCATTTTCTGTTAGATAACAGTTTATATAAAGTTGATCTAATCTATTTCATTTGAGCCTTTAACACGCCTTGTATATTCGTGTAAAGTGCCTTATAACACATTAAAATCATGAATCATACCCTCAGATTTCTGAAAAATTGTAGGTAGAATCTTTTTTTATTAATTTTTTTATTAAGAACATTATATAGACAAAGATAAAAGCAGTCACAATGTAGAACAAAAGAAATAATAAGAAAAAAAAAGAAAAAGAAAAATAACTGCAGGGTACAAAACAGGGGTATATAACTAATCACAAAAGATCACATCAAAGGAAAAGATTAAAAGACTTACAAATTTCAATTGTTTTTAAAGCCTTCTTGTTACACGAGTTAAAGATAGTCCCAAAGTAATGCTGCAATTCAGCAAGCAAAACATAAAACAGTGTTTTTTTTTACTGAAATTTTACATTTATGTATATAAAATTTGTCTAATAAAATAAGAAGATTAAGTAAGTATATTTTGTTTTTCAGTAAATGTTCTTTTTTCCAATTAACAATTCCAAACAAAACATTTTCCCAAAGTAAAGAAAAATCCTTATCAATGTTCTCACTAACAAATAGGGAAGCTGCTTTCCACTATATTTTAGAGTAATGGCAAAGCCAAAATAAATGCACAATAGTCTCTGGGTGCTGTTTGCAAAAAGAACAATTTGTATCAATATCTTTTTTGAATTTCTTTAAGAAGGTATTAACAGGATATACACGATGGACAATACGAAAGGAAACTTCTCTTATCTTATTAGTAATTAAGTAACTATTTGGAATCAGCCAAATTTTCCTCCAGGCAATATCAAAAACAAAGGCATTCCAATAAACTGTCACATTTGGAATTGAAACATTTTCCTTGAGAAATAATAAACGTACTGATCTATTAGAAGAAGTAGATGAAAAGCAATATTTCCCCACCATTGTAACAGCAGGGTCTAAAGAAGGTCAAATAGAAGGGTAGGGGATACGTTGAAATAGTCTAATAACTCCAGATGGTATGGCATCGAATACAATAGCAAATTCTTTAGAGGTAATAGGAATGTTGAAACGATTAAGAAATTCCACATAGTTTAATAAAAGGCCATTTGCATTAAATAATTGACTTACAAGCAAAATATCTGCCTCAAACCAGCGCTTTGAAGAAAAGAGAAGAAAAGAGATCTGTTTTTATATAGAATATCTCTGTTATTCCATATGAAATATTTATGAGGAGAAAAGTTGTGCTTGTATAGAAGAGACCAGGCGAGAAGGACCTGCTTATGGAATTTAGATAATTTAGCTGGTATTTTTTCAACATTATAATTACAAAGCAATACAAAATTAAATCCACCAAATTTGGGGAAAATATATTGTGGAATAAAGTTCCAGACTGAGGTTGAATTTTTGAGAAAGTGTTTGGCCCAATTAATTTTAAGAGTATTATTAAATGTGCAAAAATCTAACATATTGAGACCACCATTTTCATAAGTATTCAAAACAACAGATTTCTTGATATAATGGATGCCATTTTTCCATATGAAATTAAATAACATTTTGTCAATATTTTTAAGAATGTTGTTATCAACATGGAGAGACTGAGCAGCCTATGATAATCTGGAGATTCCCTCCCCTTTGGCAAGTAATATTCTTCCCCTCAGAGATAAGTCTCTCTGCAGCCATAAATTCAATTTTCTTTGTGTTTTCTCAATAATTGGGGAAAAATTGAATGCACATCTATTATTTAGATTTTTACATATAGAGAGTATGTAGAATCATAGGACATTGTCATAATGGGCATATGATGCAATCACAACATTTACAGCAAACAACAACAAAAAATTCCAATGGGTTTTTCTCCGTGCGCATGCGCAGTGCGTGGGGCTTCAGGACAGGCTCCACGTCTGAACACGAGCTCGTCTCAGCCAATCACAGGCGGCCACAGTGTGTTTGGAAACAACACACGCAATTACCGAAACTTCTTGAATCAGGAAAGAACCTCACTACCTTTCACTATTGCCTGACCGAGTCGCAAAGTCTTCGAGAGGTCTTCGGTTTGACTAAGAAAGAAAATGGAAGATTGTAAGGTCTCGGATAAAGAGACGATCTCGCTGGTCATTATAACGCCTAATCAGTTTCACGGCGATCAGCTGATCGAGGGAGTTCGCGTGGACTGGACCGTGAAAGACCTCAAATGTCACCTCTCCAAGGTTTATCCCACCAACCCGGTAGGTTTGGAGTGGTTTCTTATCCTATAGATATCGGTTTACATCTAGCGAGCCGTCAGCATTCCTCAACAACCGACACAACGCCACTATGGCTGAACGCTGCAGGAAATAACTGACTGTCAGTAACTTGCCCTCTAGAAACAAGATGAATTTCCACTCCACAAGGCTACACTGCTTTCATATTGTTAGTTAATTAATCATTTATCACATTATTCCTCTACTGTGTAGCTATTTGCATTACATGGAGGCATATTCAGTAGGTAAATGTGGAAACGTTGATTGTGAAGAGATACAGTGAATGTATTTCCTCTAAAAAAGGTTTTACTTCTCACAAACATAAGATAAATATCATGGTGTAAACTGACGTTCTAGGCCATGTTTGACATTTGGACTCATTTCCACAGGCTGAGAAAGACCAAAGACTCATTTACTCCGGCAAGCTGCTTCAGGACAACCTGCTTCTGAGCCATGTTTTCTCAAAGGTGAGGGACTTCACCATCTGTGGGGATGCATGCTTTCTGTTCATTTCAGGGTTGTCAAGTGATTTCAACAACAGACCTGTAAACATTGTTTTACTTGCTACGGTATTTTATCTTTACCGGCTTCCAACAGGGAAATGAAATACCTATATTTGAATTCCAGCTATTTGTTTCATTATATTTACATTTTTAGTTTTATTATTATTTTAATAATTGAATTGATTTCTCAGAAACGAACTGGATCTTGAAACGTATCATTTTAATTTGATTAGAAATATAATTTTTAAATGAGTAAAATATACATAATATCATATACATTTTTATATATAGTTTATTAGAATATGTAGGTTATAATAATATATTATTTTATCATTAAAAAATTATATTTTAACTTCATTATTAGGCCTATACATATGTATGTTATTAAAAATGTAAATAAATAATATTCTTTATAACCAGTGGCAGCATCCAGAAATTACTACCAAAAGTAATCATAAATACTTTATTTGGATTTATCACTAATGGCTGCATTTAATGTAGAAATAAAGCATATTTTTATGTCCCTGGAACATAATTCACGGTAAAAAAAAAAAAGATTCAGCGTATGAATTCAGTTGTCCTGAAAGGCAGGGGTGTTGGCAAAACACTGCAGTTTTTTTTCATTGTGTATGTCAAAGCTAATAAAAAAAAAAGTAAAATGGGTGGACCCACAGACACACCTTGTTCTGTATCCTCAGCCTGATCCTCTTACCGTGTGCTGTAGTCTGTTCTATTTCAAAGTCGTTTAGAGAAGCGACACTTGGCAGCCTCTCATGTGAGATGTTTATTTGAAAGTAGGACATTTATTGTTACATGCTGAAAACCTGTCACCTGATAGACTTGCATAACATCTAAGCTTGACGCACATATTCCAGATCAAAACAATATGACAGTCACATGGTTTACCAATCTGTCAAAACTTTCTCTTTCACAAAATGATAGTTCCCTTGGTGAATGTCTTTGCCACCTCAGTTAAAAGAACTGAAAAAACTAAACTTTTTTTTCTACAGGTTTCTTCAGAAACCAAGCCTACTCTTCACCTGGTGTGTGCTGTGAGACCCCAGCCTGCTGCCCAACTTGGAGCGAGACCCAAGGTATTTTTTCCTACTGTTTATTTTAGGTTTTAACTATGTGGCAAGACTTATTTAGTGGTACATGTAAAAACAGACATTCAGTTTATAGTTTTCACTTCCTGAATTTAGCTTAAAGGCAGTTTATTTGATCAGCTTACAGTCTGTTCAGTGGAACTGAGATGTGTCAGCCTGCTGTCTCTCAAGGGAGGGCTGTGCTTGTTTCAGTTGGGTGGAGATATCACCACACTGCTGCTTGCTTCCTGTTCCTTTCTGCATCCTTGTTTGCATAAACCAAATTCTGTAGCAATTTTCAAATTAAGTTTCATAGTGTCTCTTGCACCTGCTCTGGTCTTCCGACTCAAAAATCAAATATGTTCTTTCTCAAATCTTTGGTGTAGGTGACATCAACACAGCAGCAGAGTTCCCAGCCCTCCCCACTAACTGCTAGCCAAAGCTCAGAGTCTTCAGGACCATCCGTGACCTCTGTACCCTCCATGGACGGCCTTAGACAGCGAGGTCATGCCGACTGGCCTGGCTCTAACATGTCTACGTTAGTTTATTTTTTTCCCCTTCAAATTAAAATTCAGTGCAATGAGTATTAAAAATGTATGAATGTTAATGTGTAAATTAGTTAATTAAACGTTCGCCTTCTCTCACAGGCCTGTAACAGCAGCAATGACCCACCCATCCTTCCCCACATACTCCCTTTACAGTCCACAACAGCTCCTGTGGTTGCAGCAGATGTATGCCCGCCAGTACTACATGCAATAGTAAGTACACCCTACATGAACATACTAAATTATAGGACTGCACAATCTGGGGGAAAAATTGAATTGCGATTTTTTTTCTGATTAAAATTGCGTTTTTAAAATGCTTGTTTGTAGGGCTTCACAATTTGGCCAGTTTCAATTAGTATTAAGAAATATTGTATAATAAAATAACTTGATTGTACATAACTGTAAAAGTACAGTACTAATATTTATTGCTTCCAGTTATTTTTAGCTGTACAAAACAGCTTGTTATGCTGCTTGGTATTGCAAACTTGTATTTTTTATCATATTATTTTAATATTTAATCACTCCAAACTGGTATTTCTCTGTAAAATAAAAAAAGCTCATTTAAAAAATATTATATAATAAAAGAACTTGATTATACATAACAACTGTAAAATTACAATGCAAATATTTATAGCTTACAGTTTCACTTCGTTATTTTTAGCTTTACAAAACAGCTCGTAATGGTCCTTGATATTGCAAACTGGTATTTCTTATGTTATTTTAATATTTAATTATAAATACACTGGTTTGTAGCATAGGCCTAAATACTTATACTTGTTTACTGCACTTTATTCTTCAAGTTATTTTTCGTAACATTTACTGTAAAACGGGCTGTTCTGAGAATCTGAAAACACTGGACCATGAATTGCTCGCGTGTAAAAGAACACAGTGCCGTGTTCGTTTTGAATTACACCGCGTATATATTTAATTAAATCACAGCCTTTGCAGAATAAAAAAGCCATATCATGATTTTGGTTTACGATTAGTAGTGCAGTTTTACTATAGTATTAAAGGGTTAGTTCACCCAAAAATGAAAATTAGCCTGTGTTTTACTCACCCTCAAAGCATCCTAGGTGTATATTTGACTTTCTTCTTTCAGACGAATCCAATCGGAGTTATATTAAAAATGGTCCTGACCCCTCCAAGCCTTTCAATGTGAGTAAGCAATTGTCAACAGTTCAGAAGACATGAAATAAAGTGCGTGCATCCGTAATAAAACGTCCCTCACATGGCTCCGGGGGGTGAATAAAGGCCTCCTGTAGCGAGTCCATACGTTTTTGTAAGCTAAATATCCATATTTCAAACTATGTATTTTTTTGCCACGATGCTTTGAGGGTGAGTAAAACAGGCTAATTTTCATTTTTGGGTGAACTAACCCTTTAAGCTGGTGTTCACTCTGCGAATAAACCGTCTAACTGTGTTATGTGATGTGTTTTAAAGTCAAGCTGCCATGGCAGCCGCCGCCTCCGCTCCAATGGCCGCCCCTGCTTCCTCACTCCCTGTTGGCCCTCATCAAGCTGCTGTACCTGCAGCCTTACCAAATCAAGGCCCTATCAACGACCTGCCAGCTAATCAGAATGCCCCAGGTCCTGCATTCATCAACCCAGAGGGAGCCAATCAGAATCTGCGAATGAATGCCCAGGGTGGGCCTGTGATGGAAGACGAGGAGGACATGAACCGCGATTGGCTGGATTGGGTGTACACCGCATCCCGATTGGGTGTCTTCCTGAGCATCGTGTACTTCTATTCCAGCGTGAGCCGCTTCATCCTGGTCATGAGCAGCCTGGTTATTATGTACCTGTAAGTTTAAGCTTAACACCAAATGTTTTTATTATATTTAGTACCTTGTGGTTAGTGTTTTTGTGTAATGTTTTGAGATTTGGACTACACTGGTTGTGCTGTATGTTTTTGATTCACTAAAAAAAAAAGAACTAGTTCATTAGAGTCATTTGTTCGGGAATTGGACTAAACTAGGGTGCGTTTCTCAAAAGCAACTATGGTCACAAGTTCCGTCGTTACCAATAGAGTTCAACGGAACTAACGACCATAGTTAGCTAACGATGCTTTTGGGAAACACACACCTGGTTGTGCTGTATGTTTGTGATTTCCTAAAAAAGAACCTGTTCATAAGAGTCATTTGTTTGGGGAATTGGACTACACTGGTTGTGCTGTACATTTTTGATTCTCAAAAATGAAGCACCTCTTAAAAGTAATTCGTTCGGGAATCAGACTGTTTGGTTTCGCTGTATCTTTTGTGTTGTGATGCCACTGAATTATAGATCAGGTATCTCTGTATGAGTGTTTTAATACATAGTTTTGTCCATGTCATCTATAAACAGATCGTTGGGAACTGTAAACGGGTTCTTGAACACAGTTACACCCTCAGTTATGTAACTTTGAGCTCTGAGCCATTTGTCAGCAGACAAACTCACACACATGCATTCCTGAGAAATATGAAAGGAATGAGTAGTTTATGTAGGGTGACCATACGTGCCATTTTCCCAGGACGCGTCCTGGGAAAATGGCACGTATGGTCACCCTAAGTTTATGCAAGCAGAAATTAGCAGAAGTAGACCGGGTTTCCTCTGATAAGAAAGAAAATATCTGCTTGTATATCACTGCAGATCGGTTGGGGGCATTCTGGAATTCATTTAGTTAAACTTCAGCTGTTATAACTGAGGGTTTCAGACTGCTAAAACTGAACTTCTGATATTTTATCTCTGCAAAGAGGCAGTTTGACTGCTCTGCAGACTAGTGCGTGGCACTCCAGCAATCATTAGCTTGATCTGAGGGTGTTCAGTGTGATGATCTTATCTCCTCCATGTTACAAACTTGACCCAACCTGCCATAAAAACAGTCTGAGCCACCTCTCGTTAGTTAGTAATGTATAAATGAGCAGAGTTGGCTGGCTTTTTTAAAATAAATGGTGTCATTTGTCAATGGAGTTCATGGAGGCCTTGAATGCCTTTTTGTAGCTTTTCTAATGGTTCTTTTTCTCTCTTTCAGACACACAGCAGGCTGGTTTCCTTTTAGACAGAGACCCCAAGCCAGGCCTCACAATCTGCCAGCACCAGAGGTCATTCAGAACCAACAAAACCAAAATGAGGACAGACATCCAGGACCTGTGAGTCAAAGTTTCTGTTTAAGAAAGCAAATTAGAAAATAATTTGTTAAATAAGTGTGTAGGTGTGAATGTGCTTATTTATTCTCATTTTGTCTTGAAGGTGCTGCCCCCTGGTGAAGTGGAGGATGCTGGTGTTGCTGAACCCGCCATGACGGCAGTGCTTGTTCCCCCAGTTAGACCACCCATCCTATGGAGAGCCTGGGTGTTTTTCAAAGCCTTTTTTGCTTCTCTGATACCTGAGGCTCCACAGGGTGTTGCAAACTGATCCAGAAAAAGTCAGACAAAATTGGACTCCAGAGTCCTTGACCATTTAGACCGGACATTATAAACGAAGGCTACAAGTCCTAGAAGTGGTAGCACTTTCCAGTCCTTTGGCTATGTGACCAATGGTTGCACATTCTGTATAGACGAGCTCTTGGACATGGAGTTGTAAATATTGCTGGACATTTTTTTTTGCACGGCACTTTAAATAACCGCAAAGGCTGGAATCAATGATATCGGCCTCCTGGCCTGATCCCCTTATATAGGCTCCTGTCAACAGGGCTTCATTTTCTTGAAGTGCTCTACGATGAGTGATCCAAGGATTAAACTCATGGGATTATCTTATTAAGGTTCTAGTATAATGGACAACGAAGGCCATATGTTGATTTTGTTCTAAGTGCATGAATAGATGGAGGATGCTTGGGAGAATGCATTTGTGGCACTTTGAAGCTAATGGTGTTTATGCAAATAAAATATGCTTACACTTTCTTTTCTTAATTGTGTTCCACCTGTGAAATGAGAAATGTTCATATTTATGAAGGAGGTTTGGTATATGCATTCAAGTATTTGTGAGCAGAATTGACCTCTGGATGAAAAGGCGAGTGAACCCCACTTTGAATTTTACATCATCTTTACATGAAGGAACTGCACTTTGGTACCTGCAAAAGAACAGAAATTAAGAGTGGAATAGTTCTGAGAGACTTAAAAATATGTTTTTTAATCTGCTATTTATCAACACTAGCATTACTGTCATTTCATTTCATGTATAAAATAGCTTTGTTATTAACATTAAGATAATCCTTTGTACCTGGAAATGAAAAAATAAACATACTTTCTTTGTTTCAATTTCTCTTTGAAAAGTCTAATATAAATGCTTGTTGAATTCTGTTTGGGTAGCTTTTGTTTTCTCTCCTGATTTAATTTTTAGTTAAGGCCTTTTCTTATTAATTTGTGAAGCTCATTTTATATATGTGCTAGAGCAGGGCTGTCCAAACTCGGTCCTGGAGGGCCGGTGTCCTGCAGAGTTTAGCTCCAAACTTGCCTCAACACACCTGCCTGGAAGTTTCTAGCATGCCTAGTAAGAGCTTGATTAGCTGGTTCAGGTGTGTTTGATTAGGGTTGGAGCTAGACTCTGCAGGACACCGGCCCTCCAGGACCGAGTTTGGACAGCCCTGTGCTAGACACTCTCACAGAAACCTCTCCTGCCTCATTCTAATCAGAAACTGAGAAACAAAATAATTGCAACACCATAAATAATGATAGTGGAATTAACATACTGTTTTATGTTATTAAAGAACATATAAATTCATATGCAGAGTCTGGTAATCCCAGAAAAGTAGGCTACCCAGACACGTAACTGTAGCTACATTTAAATGCTGACAAATAAACACTATCATAACTGTTTGGGCAGTTAGACTAATCTCTAAAATGATATCGTAATGGTATTCCCGATAATATCTTAGCCATGAACACATTTTTTAAATCTTATTTTTTTAAAAGCCTTTATTATTTCTCATCAGTAAAATTCACTTTATTAAAGGTTCAGTTTTCATTCATGTTTTAGGCTTCTCGTTATTTTAATATCTTAGACATCCATCAGTTAGTGATGAAAAAAATTGCCTCGCTGGTGGAAACAACACGAGACCGTGCTGCCGCGACTGTCAAAACCTTACTATTAACATTTTTACATAACATTTATTTATTTAATCTCACAATTCTGACTTTTTTTCTCGCAAATGCAAGTTTATATCTCCTAATTCGGACTTTATAATTCGACTTAACTCAAAAGAGAGAATGACGAGTTGTTTTTCCTTATTAGAATTGTGAGATATAATCTCGGAATTGCGAGAATAAAGTGATCATTTTGAAATATAAAATCAAATTTACCTTTTATTATTATTTTATTCCATGGCTTTTCTGCCTCCAGATAGGCTCCGCCCACAAAAAAATTCATCCCTGTTTCGGATCTGTAAGACTATCTCACTCTCTAACGTCAATTTCGTTGAATAACAGTGCTTATCGCTGGGTGACAAGCTCTTGTAATATGTGTAGAACATTTTGAAAATGACATCTAATCAATATAATTTATAATCTTTTTAAACCTAACTATTTTGTACCGTATCCGTGAAATTCTCTACCAGTAAAGGCTATCTCTCCCGGGTTTTCTGCAACCATGATGCGCGCGCATCCTGAATGTTTACAAACCGATAATTGGTCTATAGCAGGGGTGCCAAACTCATTTAAGGTTGAGGGCCAGATCGGAGAAAATGTCCCCTTGTGCGGGCCGAATTACCTTTTGTTAAACCCTAGTTTGCTCACAATTACATTAATATTAACCATACAAACTACAATATAATAAAAAAAAATCTAGGACAACTTTTTTTTTTAAAGATGATGCTTGGTTATTTTAGGGGTGTGCAATATTGACACAAATATTTGTTTGATAGTGATAATTACCATATTTTGCAGAGTGTGTTTTTGAGATAGCACCTTGGTTGGTTTTTAAGCCTGTCATGGATAAATAAATATGACACTAAAGCCGCCAGTAGGTGGCAGCAAGTCTCCGTCTTAATGAGTGATCCATTGACTCATTCATTCAAAACTGCTGATTCATTTAGAAACTAAGCTAGTGCTTGTGTTTATGAATGGGCCACTGAATCATTGACTCAAATAATTTGTTCAAAAACAGATTAATTCAGTAACAAAATACACAATGCTGCCTCGGAGACACACAATTAGTCTTACTTCGGCTTTGTTCAAAACGGTTTCTTGCCAAAACAGAGATAAACAGACAGCATTGTGACTAATATAACACACTTAATACTAGCATCTTGTTTGTTGAGCTTTTATATAAAATCTATTCATTTGTGATCGCGCTGACATTCGGGAAAGCAAAACTCTCTATATAGTTAGACATTACTTAACTATCACGACATAAATATTAAACACTAAATTTCTTACAGGGCATTTTATTTTTGCCTCCATATATTGAATTATATTGTAAACTGATAGCCTTCATCCGGCACTGAAAAACTCTCACGACGTGTTTGTTTGTTTTTTTGCAAAGATACAAAATGTCAACTCGCACATCATTAAAACAACAGTTAGGATATTAGTACACAATAAATATCGCACACTCCTCGCTCATTTACTTTCTCCATGCGAAGCTGTCCAGTGCGTCACAGTGTCGTTTAATATTGCACACATTTACCACAGCCACGAGTTGTGATTAAACATACCTGTCGGCGTTGAGATTAGCCTACTTTCTTTCCATTTCTCCTTAAATAGCCTGTTCGCCCTTCCAGGTCAAATTTCTTCTTTTGGACATGTTTAAAATCACCAGAAAATTGCCCACAAGCATCAGTTACAACGCAGCTATCATCATATTATCCTCGTGCTGCTCGAGATTCTGGCGCCGCTTTAAAACGCGCATGTTAGGTGTCCCGCATCCCGAGGCGTAATATCAACGTAAATAAATGAGCCATTTGTTCCGCTTTAAATTCAAAGTAAAATATTGTAGTAATTTTCAAATTTATGTTTTATTTGTTACTTTATAATATTGTTTAAATCATCCTGTGGGCCGGATTGGACACCTCTGTGGGCCGTGTTCGGCCCGCGGGCTGTATGTTTGACACCCCTGGTCTATAGGCTTAAGCTTGCCGCAAAGCACTGGCAAGCGTTTCGTTAAGTAGTCATTTAAAGCTTTCTATAGATATATTTATCATGTCTGTGAGGCGTGTATTCACTGAGTTTCGGTTCATTTTTGTGAAGCGCTCCTGTTCAAGACCGAAACGGCAGTAAGCACAACGTTTTGTTGATATTGTGAGTGCACACAAAAAAATAGACACTTTGCAGTTCCGAATAATGTATTACTCTTTATGAGCAAACATGACGCATAGGCTATTTAAAGTTGTTTCCACTGAAAAAAATGCAAGCGATCTCGCTGGCGACTGTCCTTCAAAGCACACTTTAGCTTCCACTCTCCGCACAAACTATTGGATATGCATCTAACAGCACACATTTATCTAGGTTTAACGTTTAAACATTGTTATTTGAACTGTTTTATATCTATAGATTTTATTTTAGGCAAGTCGTGATAAGTTGAGAAGGCTAAACAGCTATGGTAGGCTATGACTAACAGGCTATGATCAGCTCACTGTCTGCCGCTGGCCGCTTGATCGTTACTTTAAAAAACAAAAGCTTATTTAATTAACAAAAAATGCTCCAAACGTTTTCCTAAATTAACTTAATAAAAAACGAAACGAAATATAGCCTAATCACTTTGCCTTTGGGCTCATTGGCTGCAGCTGCCATTTCAACTCCCTGTTTTTTTCATGTCTTGCTTTTTGATTTATAATAAAATAAATATTACAACAAATTTTTGTACTTTATCGCACTGAATATAAAGTGCAAGAAGTCACAAAGTCACTTGTCATTTAAAAAAATAAATAAATAATGCTGAATTATTGAAATACCTACATAGTTAAATACAAATTAAATAAGTATAAGAATTAAATAGTGCATTCAATGTTTTTAAAAATGTTTAAATTTAATAATTTAATTACATCGTTTAAGTTTTATCCAACACAGACTTGTTGCTGCTGTAGTTTTGTTTGTCTGAATTTAGTCTCAATCACTTAATGCACAGCTCTATTTTGACCTGCTGGTCAGATGATTCATTCCGTTGCCTGTCAATCATATCAATGACTTGCGTAAATGTAACATTTGTGTTTGTCATTCCTGAAACGGTATATGGACATTTGGTTCTGTTAGACAAACAAAACTTTTCTCCTAATTATGAATGGATTATGTAGAGAAACCGAGCAAAAGGCGCTCCCTTAAGGCACAGTACAGTTAACCGGAACTGACTGAGCTGGCTTATCTAAAACCAGGAAGTAATCTTGCATATCGTCAATTGTAGCTCGTTTTTGTTTACCATTTACACATCGCGTTACTATTGGAAGCCCGTTTCCGCCACTGAATAAAAAGGTTATTGCAACTTTTTATCTCACAGTTCTGAATTTTTTTCACAGAATTGCAAGATATAAACTCAAAGATATAAGCTAGTTTTATATCACGCAATTCTGAGAGAAAAAGTCACAATTACCTTTTTTTATTTTTTATTCAGTGGCGGAAACGAGCTTCCATACCCATTGTATCGCATATACACTGACATTCTGATGAATAGGCCTACTGTAGCTCGACTACACAAAAAACCCATCGCATCCTGCTAAAGTTCTTATCTAAATGTGACTGTTGGTTCTCATCTGGTAAGCATCAGAGCTTGTTTCGTGTGGCTTGTCAACATGTTCCTTTCCAAACTAAGCCATTTCCTGTGGACTGCTGTGGTAATGATGTCCCAGTGGATTTCTACTGTTTATCTACATAAGTGTCCATTTTCAGAAATTACTGGACTACTCTAAAACGGTGAGGTAAATAAAGGGTATTCTGTCTGCACTTTACACCTCCTCATGAGCTTGTCCACCTACATGAACTTTGGCCTGCTCCTGTCCATTCTGTCCTCTGATCTTATCTTTTGTTTGTTTTGTACAGCAGAATGCTCGGAAAAACACAAAACTGTCCCTGTGCACTGTTGACTGTCCTCCAATAACCTTGAGCAACATGTGCAAGTCGACCCCAGCGGCAGTTGCATGTTTTCTCTTGTTCTCCAGAAGAGGGACAAGGCAAATCAGACATTACAGGGCCTATCCACCCCCCTCTTCCTTTGAGGCTACCTCTGGATCTGGAAGTGTCCCTCCTCCTCAGATACTTGCTGAATGGAAACAGAGCTCTTTTGAAAGAGAAGCCTGATATATCTGTAAAAGACAGGGGCTCATCTGTGTTTTTTCAGATTTGTTAAGATGGAGAGGAGTGCTGCGCTGCTCCTGGTTCTTGCTCTGGTCAATATTAGTTGTTGTTGTCTGGATCCTCCCGCTGCCTACGGGTTTACAGGAGCAGTTTGCAGGCTTACCTATCCCGCCGCTGTAGTTCGTAAGTATACCCTCATTGATTTCTGTACTATAGCCAGATGTTTCTTGTGAGTATATGTTTTGATGTTCATTACTTTGCAACATGTTTTCATTCAAATCAAGGCCTAAAACATTTACTTGCAGTGTCCCCTGAGATTTTAATCTAATATTTTAATATTTTAACAACACAGACACGTTCATATTTGTGTGATGCTGATTAATGAATAAAATATTCAGGTAAACTAATAATTTATTTAATCTTTTTTAGTAAGGGTTTTATTTTGATTCGTTTTTTTTGTAAATATTTAAAAATTATATAATTTTACATTTTAAATAATTTAATTAATTATTCTCATGAACTCACACACCCCCTGTACGACTCTGGACTAGAGAATAAATATCCCTTCCTTGATTCCTCAGTGAATGAGAAAACTACTGAGGTGATACAGGCAGCTTTTCAGCATGCCAAATATCCCAGCGTAGAGGGACAACGATCAATAGGCTTTGGGACGGTGAAATATGGATTCCACAAGTAAGGGACTCCTGAATTTGTTTACATGTTATGTGGTCCTCGTCTGTGTTACATCTTGTAGCTTATGATATTCTTCTTCCCACATCACCCACAGCTTAGAGATCCATAACCTTTCCATTGGAAAGAGTGAGTTTGAGCTGAAGGAGAATGAAGGAATAGGGATCTCCATTTCAAACGTTTCTGCTGTATTCAAAGGGACCATCAACTATGGATATGGCAGCTGGCTGTGAGTCTTTCTATTCATTACCACATACCAGGTCAGGTTTCTGCAATGGCACAGCTGTGGTTTAACCCCGTGCTCTATTATGTATTTAATGAAATTATTATCTTTTGTTTATATATGAACTTTAAGGTTTCTTCCGGTCAGCCTGTAAAGAAATCACACACTTATATTTCAGTTATGGCATCACAATTGTTTTTTTTTTTCAAAAAATGTTTGCTTTTTTTGTCAAAATGATGAACATTTTTCAACAAATGGTCTTTGAAAGAAGGTGCTTGGCCTTCAGTTTTATTTTTATATTTAGATTTTTTGTTATTTTCAATAAATAAAAAAACTATTGTCCAAAAATCATAAAAAATAAATTTTGCCAGAATATCTCATTGTCACTAGATTTACAGTCTCTCAATATAAACTACCTTGTTGAGACCAAATGTTAATTTGTAAATATTGTTAAGCTTCATTGCTGTTTAACTTCAACTTTATTTTTCACAAGTAAGAAAAAAATGATTTGATCTGTTTAAATATCTATTTGATCTGTTTAGGTAACATGGTTGAACAAAACATTTAGAAAAATTGAGAAAATGTAATGTGAGAATTTATGTGGTAGAAAAGCATCGAATGTTGACCTTTTTAAAGAATATTGCATTTAAAAAATGTAAATAAAATTTTCATGAAATGTAAACTACATTTTTCATGAGTTAAAGAAAATATTTGATCTGTTTATATATCTATTTGATCTGTTTAGGTAACAGGGTTGAATGAGAGAAAATATAATGAGACTATTTATGTTGTAAGTGTCCAAATTATGACCTTAAAGGGTTAGTTCACCCAAAAATGAAAATGCTGTCAAATTCTGCGTTCACGACAGTACCATGACGTGAGCGTGTGGCGGCGCCGGCGCTAGCGCTGACCCAGATGCGGCGTGATGATGTCATTACGCCGGATCTAGATCTAATGTGGAATAAAGTCTTTTTTTTTTGCGCAAAATAAAGTATTCTCGTAGCTTCGTAATTTTACAATTAAACCACTGATGTCACACGGACTGCTTTGTTGATCATCTTGGTACTTTTCTGGACCTTGAACGTGGTAGTTACCTTGCTGTCTATGGGAGGGTCAGAGAGCCCTCAGATTTCATAAAAAATATCCAACTGACCGAGAACCGCATGCTGTACTTCTGGATTTCTGATGGGCTTCTAGACCCGCTAATGTCCGCTGCACACCATGATGGACGATTTATTCGCAATATCTCTGGAACAGAACTCACGGTATGATATAATTAGATGTGTTGGAGGCATTTATATAATTTTTTTTCTGTGATTTGTCTTTTCTGTGATTTGTCTAGGTGTAATATATATTTTTTAACTGTAGGAGGTGCTTTTAAGCAAATAGCGGAGCATATTGTTTTTACATCTAAAATAATAATAATAATAATATTAAAAAACGAAACAAATAATAAAAGGATAATTTTTGGAACACAGAGTTGGGCGTTGCCCATGATGTCATTTTAATATAATTGATAGTTTTTTTTGTTTGTTTTTTTAAGATTTTGCTTTTGTTTTTAAATTTGTATTTTAATTTGAGTTCGTTTTATTAATTTAGTTGTCTTTTTAATGTTTTTTTAAATTTGTCTGTTAGTTTTTTATTAAACAATTATTTCAGTTTTAATTTTAATACATTAACTTAAACTATATGAACATGAGACATGTTGCTTTGGCAACTAGCTAAAATAAAATACGTTTTAAAATATTTTATTATAGTTAAGTTTTCTTTTTAATTTTAAGTAATGAACATGTTTTTTTATAGATTTAGTTTTAGTTAACTATAAGAACCCTCATATAAAGCTAAGAAGTGTTTTGAGGCATACTCTCTTGCTTGTGTCTGTCTGTTGCAGGATCTGTTTCAGACAGAGCTGTCCTCAGCCAGGCCTGAATTGTTGAACAAGGTACTAAAACACTCATTACAATATTCAAACTGCACAAAGGGGAGGAAATGACTGTCACATTTTATGCTGGCATAGGAACATGCAAATAAATGTTTTCCATTTGAAGCACACCAACTGTCATTTCAAACAGCACCTGTGTGTTTGTGGGAGTGTGATGGCTTTTTGCTTTCTCTTCAGTGGCTGTCCTCCGAGGGTCCGATGTTAAAGGCGAGGAGTGTGTCAGTTCCACACATGTGGACCACCACAGAGGGCACATCTGTCAGAGCTGTGGCTGGAGTCGAGCTCTTACTGGACAGTCAAGACATGCCAGCACTTTATTTTGAGACAGTAAGCTAAAACACAGAAGCCATGCCCTAATATAAGCAAATGCTAGATAGATAGATAGATAGATACATGACAAAATACATTTATGGTTTTTATTGGATCTGTGATTATAGGATGTGACAGTTGTTGTAAATGCCTCATATGCAGAGAAGAAACTAATTCTGAAGGCCACTGCAGAGCGGTAAGTTATAAAGGATATATAAAGATGAATTCTACAAAATGACATTAAAAAAATCAGTTTTTTTATTTTACATTTCAGTGCCTGCATGATTTAAAGGTTTTTTTCTGTTTTGTGACCATCATAGTATTTCTATAACAAAAATTGCCACATCAGAAGGACCCACTGAGGTAAGAATAAAATTAATATTATTATATTATATTATTATAATGTTTTTTATTAGTTATAAATGTATTTTTATTCATAAATGTTATATGATCTCCTTAAAGATGGAGGAGAACTTGAGAGGTCATCTTCAGGAGGCTGTGGAAAAAATGGGAATCCCCAAAGTCATATCATGTAAGTCTGACCACCACAGCCAAGCAGTGAGCACGTCAATCATGTGTTACTTTCATCATATTTGATCTCTGTCCTCAGACCTGGAGCCAGAATTAACTGCTTTGATGGATGAACAGGGGCTCAATCTCTTTGACATCATCAATCCTGAAGTTTTACCTCAGGATGTGAGTATGTTACACTTTTAGATATACTTTGAATATGTTATCAATGGTAACTGTCAATCTGTATTTAACAGTGGCCACATGCATCACATTATATGATACAGCAGAGTATCAAAAAATCATTTCAACACTTTGAATGGTTCCATTGTTGTTTTATTTCTTTAATTGTGCTTGTACAGGGGTATGTGATAGTCCAGCTGGATTTTGGTTTTCCACAACATCTGCTGGTGGAATTCCTCAAAAGGACGCTGAATTGACAGTCTTGTCTCAGTTGACTGGATTGTGTCTTTCTCATGCAAAAGCACTTACAGACGTGCACACATACATCACACATAACCAAAAAAATATAAAATATGAATGACTGTATTATAACCGCCTTTCTGCCATTATAGCTTGTATGTAAAGAACTTTAATGCTTTGTGTAGCTGTTCAGTGTTCAAATTTGTGTAAATATGAAAATGTGAATCACAATAATCTAGTTTTATAACTTTCAGTAATATGATCTCATGACCTCCATAATGCAATGTGGAGATTGTATTACCATTATTAAACATTTCCTGGTGCTGTCACACATAATTATGTGTTGCACGTTTCTGGTTAAACCTGTTTTCCTTCTGAATGAAATTGGCTGTTACAGTCTTCCTTTTGGTTTTTCTAAAGTTAGATTATTAAACTCATGAAAACGAAGCATCAACTCTGTTATGTTGTGCTGTTTTATTTTAAATTAAATTAAATTAAATTGTACACACAGCAGTTTTCCCCGACTACATGTCCTTATAAGGGGTGCAATGATTTTATATCACCACTAGGTCTGCAGACTACAACATTCTGTACATATCAACACTCCTGTCCTCAAATGCACTCCCTCTCACGAAAAGAAATGCATTGTAACGACAAACTTCACTGAAAAACTTTATTTAACGGTGTTTTTGATGCGTCACGGACACTTTGAAATCCATTCTAGCCTACTTCTCATTCAGTAGGCTATAACCAAGATAGTTTTAATTAACAGCATAAACGCTAAATGTATTGTATTGTATTATATTGCATTGTACATTCACTTAATATGAAAACATAATTTATTTGATCTTCAATTAAATTCATTTTAATTGTATACAAAGCAATTTTTCCCGACTATCTTGTTCTTATAAGGGATGCAATGATTTGATATGACCACTATGCGGCGTCAGTGCGCACCATAACATTCTATACGTCTCAACACTGCTGTCCTCAAATGCCCTCTCACGACATTTAGACATGACATGTAGGCCTATTGTATCGACGAACTTCAATGAAGAACTTCGTGTAGGCTAAAGGTGTTTTTAAAGCGTCACATACACTTTGAAATCGATTGTGCTGCTCATCGAACCCGCATAACAAAGATAGTTTTAATTAACAACAAAAACGCTAAATTCATTGTATTCAAATGTATGTTCACTTATTACTAAAATCTTTGAATTCGTTATAAAGTGCTTTTGGTTGTGATTGCATAGAAAAGTATCCGAAAATAACCCTTTCAACACGCTCAGTCGTCGATAGATAAAATGTTATTTGATATTAAAACACACTTAACGTTAAAAGACGCACGAGCGCAGTTTGGCAGGGTTGGTTTAGTAGAGTCGCGCTAACGTCTGGTTCACTGCAGGATCCGTATTTTTAATGCGCATAAAAGAAATCGAAACCAAACCAGAGGGATAGTTTAGTTTCATTTTCTTCCCTTAAACTGGACCCGATGCGTTATGCCACCAGCGGTGAGTAGCTACATCATATTAATTCATATTATAAACATATAGAACATTTTAAAATGCGTTCATATTGAGTTAATATTTTGATCAAAGCACGTTGTTGATTAGCATGGCCATTCATTAGCTCAGCCTTCACACAAAGTGTCCAGGGTGCTCTGTCGTTTCCTGCAGGTCACTAAATGGGCACAAGCTTCTACGTATTTACTAAAACAGCAATTTATTTGACTATATTTTAGTAATTAACTTCATGGACAGAAACCTTCTTAGCAAAACTTTTGCATGAGCTACATATTTTTATATGGAGAAAATTACTTTGAAATATCAGTGATAACATGATATTGAACTACAGAATAAAGAGTTAACAATAATTTGTCATGGCTCGTCTGTAGCAAACACATCTATTTTCTCTAGTAAATTGTGTAATTTTGTTTTGTCAATATTAAGAGTAATCAATTTATTTCAGTATTTGCAGCATTTAATTATTGAACTGAAAAGTATTGAAATGACTTGTAGCAATGCACATGCATTAACTTAGCAGTGCCTAACAAAGCATGTAACGTTAGTGTTGTACCACATGCACCGACATCATAAACCTGCTGTGCTTTGTTACACGTTGTGTAGATCAGCACTCAGCACCATTACATTTATTGTGGCGAGTAAGTTTTGTTTGAACTAAAAAGTTCTACAAAGCAAAATGAAGGATTTCTTTCCTCCCCAGCTAATGGATGAGGATGGAAAGGGTGGACTGGCCGGGGGACATCCTGACACTGGTGGCCCAGGAGGCCAGTGCACTGGTGGAATTGCTCTGCGAACAAAACAGTGGTGTTCTGGATCGGATCTTTGCCTTAGTGGAACCTAAAACACTGGATCACAGACAGTCACTGACCAACACCAGAGATCGTGTCTCAGCCATTGTAGATTACTTTAAGTCTTCAGACCGAAACTCATGTAGACAGTTTCTCACCATTGTATATCAGTACAGTGAAAACATTCCCCTTCTTCTTGAAACTACACTGGTGTCCATAGCAGGATACACACCTGGTAAGCCATGTTCTGCACCTTTTTTTTTGTTATACTTTGTAGATATGCTGCAGCTTTTCCCTCTTCATACCATACTGTACGTATTTACAATTAAAATTAAAGCATACTTTTAATATGAATCATAATTTAATTTAACAACATACAGTATTCTATACAGTTTATACTATGATAGTTTTACAATTTCGTCTCGACACACTTTTTTTTAATTAAGCTTTGAAGTGAAAGTGAAAGTATCTTGTAGATGTTAAAAAAATAAGCTATTATGTAAAATATGAATGTTATTGAATTCTGGGTTATAATTATTCAGGCCGTTTTTCGTTTTCTGTTCTTTTAAGGAACAAACTTCAATCATACATGTGAGAGTGTCGACTCTTCACCTTCACCATATGTGAAACGTCCACGGCTAGGTATGTTTTATTCTTAAAGGCACACACCCATTTTGAATTTTGATTCATTGTGATAGCAATCGCTCTGAGCAACCCAACTGTTAAATTTACTTTGACTTGGCTGACAGCAACACATTAGCTATTCAACGAGAAGAGCTGCATTTGTACAACTTCTTATATTAATCCAAACAAAAATAATTAACATATTTCCCGTACTTTTACTTTACTAAATCAATAAATTATTACTTTGATATATATATATATATATATATATATATATATATATATATATATAGAAACAATAGTATGTTATATTTTATTTTATTAGAATATTTTCTGTTACAAAATCCAGTTGATCTATTGTAAAGATCTGCTGCAAAAATTACTTGAACTAGCATTACTTTGAGCTGGTTAATCAAAAGAAAAACATTTGCTACAGGGTTGGTCCATAAAGTGGTTTCTAAACCTAGCAGGAACAGTACACATATCAAAAGATTATTTTAAAACTGAACCTTGTTATTAATGTTTACATTGTCATTGACATCATAATAATACTAAGTCATCCCAAAATCATAAACATTTATTTTGTTATATAACCATATATAACAAAATATCAAACCAAGTTGCACAAGAAATATAGCATAAACAATTTTTAAAGAAATCAGTTAGATTTCAAGCTGTGTTAAGAAAATGGAAACGCAAAATAAGAAAAGGAAAATTAGTTTTTAGATAATGTCTAGAATTACTTGTTTGCAGATGGCACATGGTTTAATATTTTATTACTAAAACAATAACATTCATAGATTTTTAAATGTGACTAAAGTCTTTTTAAGGCTTTTGTATGAACTACAATTTAAATTCATGATACCTACACTCTAAAAAAGAGTGAGTTAAAAACAACCCAATTTGGGTTATTTTTAACCCAAGGACTGGGTAAATATAGGACAGAATACATGTTGGGATCATTTTACCCAGCAAATTGGGTTGTTTATTTGACCAAGCATATGGGTTGATTCATTTTCGGTGGGGAACTGCTAACTTTAGATTGCCGCTCTACATTTTACTCATAACTGAAATATGCTGTGACTGGCTCTAATCTGCCCGTAAACAAACAGTATACATCTCTGAGGACATATCTAACATTTAAAGTAATTATATTCTTTATATCTTTATGAATAATATCATTTATTTTATGCAAGGCATCAGGCATTTCCATCATGTGAACTCACTTAGGTGACTCACACTCCTGTATGTTGCTTTGCATAAAATGAAATGATATACAGTACAGTAACGATTTTATAGATGCAATAAAATGTACACAAACTTGTATTTTACCGAAGAAATGCATCAATTTGATGGCTGCTCTCTCTTCTCCTGAAGATGATGCAAATACGGCGCAATAAATAACTCAACCGCTGGGTTACGTTACGTCTAACCCAGGATCTGGGTAACACAAAACTACCAAACAATGGGTTGTTATGTCTGAACCATAAGCTGGGTAACACAAAAATTAACCAAACACTGAAAAACTTATTCCCCAAAAATGACCCGAAAAGCTCAACCCATTGTTTGGGTTGAAAAAATAACCCAGGATTTTTTAGAGCGTAATAATAATGCATTGACTTTCTTACCTAGATCATTTACAGAGCTACATGGATGCTCTTAAATCCATGGTACTGCAAAAATATGAGTCAGTGGCACAAGCTGTAGTAAAGGACATCCGTCTGGAAGACACATGGGTGTATTTAAGACACAGGAACCCTCCACGAGGGAAAGACAGGACCATCCAGCCTCAAGCCTCTCTAGACAACCATGAAGGAGAAGAGTCAGAGCATAAAGTGTCTGTTGAGTCTCTTTTGAAAACCACCAGCAGGGTTGTCACGCTGCTGGGCCAGGCTGGATCTGGTAAGACCCTGCTGGTTCACTGCCTCGGTCGTGACTGGGCTGAAGGTTCCTTCCCATCTATTCATCTGCTGTTCCTGCTGGAGTTCCGGCAGCTCAATCTTATCTCACGTGATTTGTCCTTGAAAGAACTACTATTTCTCTTCTATCCTGCTTGTGATGATGACGAGGAACAAAGTGATGCAGTGTTTGAATTCATCCTCTCCAACCCTGAGAAGGTCTGCTTCATATTTGACGGGTATGATGAGTTTCGTGCCAAGCTTACGCATCCTGAAAAGCTGGAGAGCATCAATGACCCAAACAAACCTCTTCCATTGACAGATCTCCTCTCAGGACTGTGCAGTCGTAGATTCCTTCCAGATTGCACTGTGTTGGTCACCTGTAGACCACGAGATGTGACTGACATGTTTGGAAGCCCTGGCTTCATAACCTGTGAGCTACAAGGGTTTGACCGATTGGGTGTGAAGGAATATGCCGAGCAATACTTCCATAAAAAAGGAGATGAACTCAAAAAGAAAGCTGTAAACCTGTTGATGAACAACCGACACCTCTTGTCAATGTCTCACGTACCTGGACTCTGTCATATTTGCTGTGTATGTATGGAACATCTGTTCTCCAGTGATGGAACTGATCTTCAGCTACCAACGTCCTTAACCCAAATCTACATGCAGATCATCTTGGCGTTCCTCAAACGCATCAATGGAGGTGTGGTGTCTGGTACATCTCCACTGCAGAGATACAGATCTAAAATTGTTGAGATGAGTCAGTTGGCCCTCAAAGGACTGGAGGAAAGCACTATAGTCTTCATGGACACAGATGTGTCTCCAGAGCTCCAGGAATTTGGTGTTAAAAGCGGGATACTGTCTTGTGTGAAACTGACTCGTGAGGATGGATCTTCAGGATATGGTTTCACGTTCATGCACCTTACAATGCAGGAGTTTCTCGCTGCTCTCCACCTCATGACCAGTCAGAACATCACTGAGAGTCAACTTAAGAAGAAGCTTAACTTGAAAACCCGCTGGACCACCAAGATTGATCCAAAATCCGTTTTTACAGACTCTCTCCATGTTTATGTATGTGGGCTTGCGGCAGAGGCCTGCAAGTCCAGTTTGGTCCAACTTAAAGGGGCCGAGGGCACTACGGCTTGGGTACAAAAGCGGCAAGCTACCGTCCGTAATGTTTTGCTGGGTTTTGCAGGAAGTACCAGTCAAACAGGCCCCAAAATTGTGGAGCTGTGTCGATGTGCTCATGAGACTCAAGATGCTAAGTTAGCAAGAGCTATTGGTTCGAGACCACAGTTTGAACTGCGAAATATCAGACTCAATGCAGTTGACATGGATTCGTTAGCATTTGTGACAGCGGCTGCTGATCAGAATGTATGTCTGGACATTGGTGGCTGTTCAATTGATCCGGATTGTTTGGAAATTCTCCCTAGTTTCAAGAATGTGGATCATCTCATGTAAGTTTCTATAAAATTCTCTTTTATGAACAAATGCTTTATGTATGTCATGAGATGTGTAGTAAATTGGTGCCCATATGGCAGCTGATATAGCGCTACGATATTGGTACTCAGCTGATAGCCGAATGTTAATTTATCTGTATTGGTTCATACGGGCTGATATTGGATTTTTAATTGTGTGCTCATTTCTTCTATTTTTACATTTTGATTACCTTTGCCGTCCTCTAATGTGTGTGCAAGTTAATGTTTAAAAACACTAATATTTTAACAACACTTTAACAACACTTTTCTCGGAATCAATATCCATTTTTCATACTGCTGCCTAAACTTGCATTTTAAAGCGATAGTGTTTAATTTGACATTTATTTAGACAAAATAGTATAGACTTTAAATATCGACCATTTTTAATAACATCAAAATATTTATCAGCTTGTGGGTTTCTGCCGGAGTTGTAACAGTAATACATGATTTTGTAGTCTTTAATCTGGTCATGTTGATGTACTCAGTTTGTTAAATATATTATTTATTTAAGTTTCCGTAGCCGGAAATATGATGACAAGTTTGCAGAGGCTTTGTGTGGTATCCTGCGTAAACTCCAGGCTTTGCAGAAATTAGAGTAAGTCTTATATCCAACAAAATATCTGTTGTGTCCTTTATGCGATTTGTCTCAGTATTGCCTTGCAGTGTGTATTTCTGTTTTCAAAAGAGTGTATATGTTTTTCTGAAAACTTACACAGTGTCAGTGAAAATGGTGTTGATATGGATGGGGTGGTGATGCTTGCTTCTGCCATTTGTAACCAGAAGAACCTGAGGAAAGTGGATGCAAGGTAACTACCTTATCAAAATTAGCATGGAGCTATTGACCATTTTAATGCCTGTCTGAAAATGCTGTGCTTTTTCTCACCAGTGAAAATGGAAAGAAAAAGCTGGTTCTTTGGTTTGACACCAGCAGACGGTACTGAAACAGTTGAAGACATTTCTGCTTAATATAAAGTAGTGCATATGTAAATGTTGGTTTTGAATATCAAATGTGCTTTTTGAATTCAGGCATAATTCAAGACAGCTGACCACAAATGTAACTGGGATACATCTGCATAAAAAACTCAGGTACATCTCTCAATTGGATTCTATACATTGGTTTAGCTGCGATCATTTAATAATTTGTTATTCACATTTACTTGTATAGTGCTTTTCACGATACACATCACACATTGCAAAGCAGCTTCATAGAAAATGAATGTTTCTACATTACAGCTAAGAGTCATTTTTGTCTTTGCAGTTTAACCCGTAGTGATATCAAACCTGTCTACATGACCAAGCTGTGTAAGCAACTGGTAAAATGTGAAAACCTACTGGACATTGAGTGAGTAGCTCAAATATTTAGGATAGACAAAAGACTTACCAGATGTAGAAACATGTATCAGCTGTATTGAGCTAGTCCTCACTGTTTATTTGTGTTACAGGTTCTCCCATCTGAAATTATCAAATGAGTCTGTAGAGAAGTTGATGTTGATTCTTCCTGAAATGTCTTCTCTTCAACTACTGAAGTAAGTGGCCATAACAGTCTGGTTCCTGTAGTACAGCTGTGATTTATCTCTATCATAAATGACCTGATATGACTAATCATTCATGATGACCGTGTTTTTCAGCCTAAGTCATGTTGACCTGTCTACAAATGGGGCTTTGTTATTGATCAGATCTCTTGCTGACTGTCAGCGTGTCACAGCTGTAGAACTGAGGTATCTTACTTCAATTCAATGTCAGATATTAAACTATGGTTAACTTTCTTAAGGCTGCAGTCCGTAATTTTTTTTGGTTAAAAATGATCCGAAATCAACATTTGAGCAAGTACATAACCAGCCAGTGTTCAAAACTATCGCCTTACTTTAGCCCGATTCACAACGGTCATTTTATAATAATGTTTTCTAATTTGAGTGGTATGGGTAGGTTTTCGCTGGAAATTCGAGCATGGCACTGCGTCATTACGTCACGTCTGTAAACATAAAGAAGTTGTCCCGGCTACTAGGCTATCGCATGTGAGGATCTTGCAAGTGGCCGATCGTTTATAGCCTTTTCTCACAGCAGCCAGAATAATTAAATGTATCATTTTGATGGCGGATTGTAATCCATAAAGGATTATGTGTTAATGAAACACATGTGAATTAAATTAAATTATATTCCAGTTATAAATGTGCTTCTGATTACAGATAGCCTGGGATTACAAAGATTTGTATTTTAAAGAAAACCAGTCCGAAGAGAGCATAATTTGCTTTTTGGGTTAAAAGAATTTCTTAATATGAAATTCGAAGAGTATGACAATTAGATTAGACTGTGCAGAAATTGAAATCTACATGCTAATACACACTATACTCATAGTCACCAATGCTGATGTTGTTAACATGAATCATTTGAGAATAAAGTATAACAATAATAATAATTTGAACGGTTTGATGTGATCTTTAGATTTAATCACCATTGGTAGCGAGATTTATGGTAATGCTTTTTTCCTGAGTTGGTCAGAACAAACGTGTCAGACCCCTGTTACTTACTTGTTCAGATGGCAATATACGGTGAAAATTCTTAATTGGATCATATTCCAAGACGTAGGCTAGAATCTGTGATTGTGACTGACTGCCACACATACTCTTCAGAACATTAAATTCATCCGCGCTGGAGCCGCGCCCACTCACAACCCATGCAAGCTAGATAATTCCGCACACAGCTGCAGTTCCAGGTTTTCAAACAGAAATGGCGACAAAGAGGCAAAACTTACAGACTGCAGCTTTAAATATACTTTTAAAATCACAAATCTTGATTTATTTTTCTAAAGTTGCTTTTAACGTGATTCTCAGGCACCAGGCAGAAGCATTCATCAAGTTTGTTCCTGAAAAGGCAGAGGCAGCAATTTGCAAGTTAGTAATGTCATCTTACCACCATTGCTGGGCATTGCTGGTTAATGTGTGCACACGCTCTTCAAAGTGCTCCGCGCTTTATGACGTCATATAGGGCCATACTTTCCGAAACTTATACGAACCCTGAAGAAGTGTATTTGGCACAGAAATACTCTGTCATATGTCCAACTCATTTTTTTGATAAACTTTGGCCATGTTTAGCATGAGAATCCAACTGTTTAACAGTGTAAAATAAGTCAGAATGCATGAAATAGCATTAGACATCCCTTTTAATTAAATTTTTTTTATAATTACTTAAGCTCAGCGCATGCTCACTGACTGTTCTGCCTTCTTGTGAAGATTCTGTGAAGTAGTTTACACTGTACAACGAAATCTCTTATTTACATTAGTTCTACACCTTGCTGACTTTAATGAGAGCATTTGTGAGAGTGCAGAACTTAGTAAGATCATGCTAACAAAACTTGGCATTTGAGCGGTAATAGGTGGATTTCTTCTTCCTATAATTTGCTTAATCATCTATGCATGCAACAGACAAGTCTGTGATTGGTTACAGTGATCAACGCTGGTCAAAGGTGTTCTTGTTAACTAAATCTATTATAAATTGTTTTCTGTAATTGAAATAAAGCTGAAATGAAATAAAATATAAATATTAGATGAAAAACTTAACAAGCCTAAATGAAAATGGCAAATGTAGAAATACTAAAATTAATTATTAATTTTATGAACTAATAAATACTGTGACAGTATGTAGTAAGCAATGCTAAAATAACACTGTCTTTGATGCAATACATCTCAAACTGAATTCCATAATGCTGTATCACTGCAATAGATTATTTCTCAGTTAATTTTGTGGCCCTTGCACTTTTGGAAACTGGAGGTTTTGACTCTCTCTCTGATGTTAACAGGCTCACAGAGTATAAACTGTGCAAAAGCAATGTTGAGAAGCTCTCAAGGATACTGGAAAACTGTCCTCGCCTATCTGAATTGGAGTAAGTGTTCCTCTGTTCTTTTACCTCCATCTTAATAGAAGTTGGTGTATTTTACTGTCCAGTAATCACAAACAGTTCATTTTTTATTTCTTTCTCCACTGTAGTTTGTCTCATAACCTTCTTCATGATGAAGGGGTGAAATGTTTTGTTGACTATTTGCCTAAACTAAAGATCTCCAGCTCGGTGAGGTAAGAGTTCAGTGACAGTTGTAGAGTTTGCTTGTAATTTAAATTATGGATTAATTTACCTTGTAAAGTTTACTTATTGTTCTCCTTCGCAGCCTCACCGGCAACCAAATAACTCAAGTCGGGGCACTGCATCTGGTCAACTCAATGAACACCTGTGAGAAAGTTGTTGCTGTTGAAGTCAGGTAAAGACTAACACACTATCACGTCCATTCTTTCCTTACTTTTCATTGACATGAACAATGATCGGCTTGCATATTATATGTGTGTTTCTCATCTTTAGTCTTGGAGTGGAAGATCAGTCTCTGATTAAGTTTGTGCAGGAACATGTCAATGGCAAAACTCTTAGGTAATTTCCCAGAATATATGTGTTGCAAAAACACAATCAGAGAGTCACGTGAATAGTATGATTTATTCACTCAAGTCAAAAGTGAAAGTTGTTTGATGTTTAGCTTCCTCTTACTGTTGTCTTACTCTTAACTACAGGCTAAGGGAGTGCAGTTTTGAGGTCATACACTTGAAGAAGCTTGTGGAAATAGTGAACAGATGCCCTAGACTACTTACATTAGAGTGAGTATTTGAGCACAGTTGTGTTACTATGTGTGTGTTTTGCAAATTTATTAACTAATGAGACTCAGTATTCTTTATTTGTCCTCTCAGAAAAGTGCTATATTTTATAGATTCTTCCTGTTATTAATCCCCTTATTCCATTTATTGAGTACTATTAGTGTTTTCAGGGAAGTGCAAACTGTACATATCTGTTAAAATACAAAATGTGTTTTAAGGTTTCATGACCATTTGTGACACAAAACCAGTCATAAGGGTCCATTTGTTTAAATTGAGATTTATACATCACCTGAAAGCTGAATAAATAGGATAGGACAATATTTGGCTGAGATACAACTATTTGAAAATCTGGAATTGGAGGGTGCAAAAAAAATCAAAATACTGAAAGAATCGCCTTTAAAGTTGTCCAAATAAAGTTCTTAGGAATACATATTACTAATCAAAAATTAAGTTTTGATATATTTACGGTAAGAAATTTACAAAATATCTTCATGGAACATGATCTTTACTTAATATCCTAATGATTTTTGGCATAAAAGAAAAATCGATAAATTTGACCCATTCAATGTTTTTTTGACTATTGCTACAAATATACCCCAGCGACTTAAAGGTCCCCTGAAATGCTTCGAAACACGCAGCGTTACTCTATGTGTTGACGTCATTTTAACTGAAACAGGACGACAGGGCAGGACATATCAAGCAGCCCCACCCCTTTTTAAAATAGCCAATAGCGTTCGTTTATATCACAGCTTGGGCTAGAGCCGTTCAGAGCCGTTGAGCTCTGTAAAGTCACATTTGACAGGGTATGCCAGCCACAATCTCATCCATATTGCTATAAAATATAGCATTCTGTGTAGAATTCAAATAGCTCCGATACATTTTGTGGTCTGCGCCGACTCGCGCATGTGATCCGCTCCATGCTAACGTGTCTCTGGACCGGAGCAGAGTGTGTGAGCGTTGTGGTGGTTAGCGTGACACAATGCAAAACCAGTCTTTTTTTCCTCAATAGAAAGCATATTTACACTGTTTGAATAATTCCCTGTCCCCTATAGTGCACTACGTGCCATTCACTGTACAGAAAATACTAATTCTGTGGACAAGTGACCGATTTCAGCCATGGCTTCAGTGTCTATTTTATAGTGTAGAGGGCAGGCGCTTCAGATTCTAGAGAGCATTTGACTGGACAGAAAGTTTGATGAGAAGCTGAAGTACGATGTGACGTCAAAAAAATTGTCGGAAGTGACGAACTGCAAGCTTTGAATGCTTATATCTTCTAAATGCGAATTTTGTCACTGTTTTGGAGCACACTGCCTTACAGATAACCTTAAGACTAACATACTGATACAAACACCCAAAAAACTTTAATTTTGATTTCATGGGGACTTTAAGACTGGTTTTGTGGTCCAGGGTCACATTCAAATAAACATTGATTGTTCCTCTTTTCTTTAGATTGTCTTCTAATTCACTGCACAGTCAAGGCCTTTTCTCTCTACTGGACAGCCTGGTTGAGCTCTCCACAATCCAAACTGTGAAGTAAGATTTTACAAAGATTGTTGATTGTTAAGGATTGTGATCTCACTCACTGACTATTTCAACAGTACTCATACGTTTCTTGGATATTTTTAAAACGGCATATTTTTAATGCACTTTTTTCTGTTTCCTCTCAGATTAAGAAGTAATGGTCTGAGTTCTGAGCAGATTGAGTATTTTGTTAAAAAGTTAAGTAGCTGTCACCAACACAGAGACACCAGGTAAGAAATGAACAAAACATCTTTTTATTTGAAAATGTTTCTTCAACTTCTGGAATTTTGAAATCTTAACAGATTTTTGGTTTCTACCCTTGTCTCAAACCCATACTATCAATTTAAAAATATGAAATTCCACTGTAAAAATAATACATCAGTTTTACACAAATTATGGCCACCTTTATGTATCATTTTCATCATGACTAACAAAATTCCCCCGTTAAAAGATTTTCAATGGTTAGTGCACTTGTTTACCAAATAAACAGTTGTGTCTGGGACAACAGTGATAAGAAATATGAAACATAAGGAATAGAAAGCAAAAATCAAGGTCCGGTAATAGTGTAATTGAATGTAATTGTGTTTATTTGATATATATAAAATGCTACCTATTAAATTAGCCTTAGCAAGACATATTCCATTTATTCCACCACAAAATGTTAAACACAAAACATGATTTGAAATTTGTTGTAAACTACACTATGGTGGATATGTAGGGGGGAAAAAATGACATTTCCCCTATAAAACGTGTATATGCACTGTTTTTAGATTACAAACTTGTGAGTGTAGGACATTTGTTTTAATGAGTTTATTTTGCAAATATCTTAAAGTCCTAAGTGCCTTAATTTGAAGAAACAACGAAGAACAGATGTAATCTGTGATTAGTTGCTACTTTTATATAGCAGATGCACTGTTAGAATAACAATGGGTTTGGAATGTCTTTATATTAGGATTGAAGAGCCGTGGCTGACAGGAAATGCTGTTGCCAGTCTCATTGCCAAATGCCTAAATTTGCAGCCACACATCAAAGAAATCAGGTACGGTTCTGAAACAGTAACCCACAATCAACGGACACACATATTGTGACCACTGATTGCTTCATGGCTGTAACTGTGGATGAAACTTGTCAGCACACCACAATGTTTGTATTAAAAGGTCTATAAAACTGCAAATGTTTTCAAATGTAGTGACAGAGACAAAGTGATATTAATAGTATTAACATTTCACCTGTTCTTTGAAGTCTCTTGAATGAACTAAAATGTATGCATTTACTTAATTGTGGGTCGGTTGTGGGTATATACTGAATGGTTTCCTGTGTGACAATGTTGCTCTTATTTCATCCCAACTCAAACATTTATGTTCAATGGCAAACAGATTTAAACTTGTAAATTTGCAAATGATCCTAACTTAATAATGCATTGTCAAGTGATTAAGTAAAACGTGAAAAAAACATCTTTTACCCAATATTTGCAGCGTCAACCGTGCATCCATAAACATCATTACAGAGGGAAATTCCAGGCCTAGATCCACTTTTGTGTATGTTTGATAATTCCATATATTTTTATGCTCATAGAATATGGAGTGCTATAAATATTGTTAATAAATATGCTAAGCTAATTTGGCCCTTTTTACTTCTGACAGAGGTCATTCTGAAAACTTCTCACCTGCTCTGCAGTCCATCAGGTGTGTTGGTTTTTTGGTTGATTGTCAGCTTGTTTGTTTTGTGCTTTTATTCACTCTTATTTTTGTTATATTCGCCATATTTGATGTACAACTCCACTTTTGTCACATTCTTTAGCTTTGATGACTGTGACATAGAAGGACAGCATCTCGCTCCTCTGACACTTCCCATTCAGAAATGTCATGCCTTACAGGATTTAAGGTAAGCCAATGAGAGTTGATACTAACTTTTTTGTCTATTAGATGTTTTTTTCCCCCTTAGTATAAATTCTGCTTTATTTAATGTCCAGATTCTCTCAGCTCAAAGTGGACAGAAAAGGTGCAGATTTTTTTTCTGCGGTCATTCCTTTCTTACGGAATCTCAGGAACCTCACGTAAGTGTTCCAAAGATCAGTCATCTTTATTTTATACTGTATATATGGGTGTTTCTTTTAAAACATACTTTTTACATAATATGTAACATACATGCATCACAGGACATTTATGGCGTTTTGCCACCACAGTGTCATTTCCACATCTCAAATAATTATATTGTTTTTAATAGCACACTTAAACATTTTTGTAATAAAATGTCCAACTTGTTTTTGTTGTGGGGCTAATTTAATTGCATCTAAGTATTCTAAATATACAGAAGTAAATCATTTTTCATACTATTTGCAAAATTTGACAAAATTAAAGCTAAATAGGAAATTAAGTGCAATAAAAATATTCTGCTCATGAGTGATATTGATTTATTTTTATATTCTTCATTATGTGTTGTATATTTTTTCTCATACTGATGGAATTGATGCCACAACTAATGTTGTGCAAAATAATTTTAAAACATTTAATAATTGTAATTTAACATACTATTTTACTGTTGATTTTCATTCATAAAATCTACACTAAATATAACTGCATGGTAAAAAGATTCTGAGTTTTAATGTAACCAAATCATTTTAAATCTGTTTGTTTAAAAAAATCAGCCTCTGGGACTTTGAAGTTGTAGAAACATCTGTATGCAACACTCTTGGTGTTATAATAAGTATTGTTTTTTACAGTCTTGATTTGAAAGGAGCAGCTGAGGATGAGGTGGCAACACTTATGGCAGCATTACCAAAAACTACATCATTTGAGAGTTTGAGGTGTGTTGTCTTTCTCTTGACCCCTTTATCCAAGTTTAAAGTGATCTTGACACAGAATATTTATGTGTCATTTCATTCAGTGAGCTTATTTACCTTTTACTTCCCATATGTTTCAACATTTCCCTTTGCCTCTGGTTTTCCAGTTTGTCCCAGCTTGTTTTAGGTGACCATGGAGCTACAGTACTTGGAAGAGCACTTCAAAGTGTGCCAAATCTAAAGTCGATCAAGTAAGTGTCTGATTTTCTTCATTGTTTCTCAGTGATAAAGAGTGCGACATTGCTGATGGGCCGATATATTTTTGTCCAGTCTGTCCCAGTGCTCTGGTTGGACAGCAGCTCGAGGGCGGGACCTGGTCAGAGGTCTGGTGCAGTGTGTCTCACTGGCAGAGATACGGTAACACATGCACTCTTGAAATTAAGAAGTGTGGCTAGTTTTTAATGCATTCACAGTCACTGACAATATATACTATATTCAATATTCTGTTCTCAATCATAGACTTGACTCTGTGATACTTGATGAGGAGGGTATAACCATTCTAGCTCAAGGCTTCAGCCGTTTGACCTCACTTAGGAGGCTCAGGTGAGGCTTTTATACCTTGTAATGTTCATTGTAGATTTAGCACGTTCTCAATAATCTGCTGTACTCACCTGAGAGCCCATCCTGTTTTTTCTTCTCTACTTTGGTTGGTTGTTCTCCTCAGCTTGAACAAAATCAGAGTGGTGACATCAGAGACATTTGTGAATGGCACTGGCATACTCTGTCTACTGGCCTCTTTTAAGGGTTTTAGACAGATGGAAGAGATTGAGTAAGTATTGCGGTTAGTAAAAAGCACATGCACACAAATTCCCACAGTGTTTGGTAATATGCAAACATTTTTTGATGTTTACAGGTTGGAAAGTTGGAGAATTGGAGATAGTGGTACTTATGAACTTGTGAAATACATTCCTTCATGGACTGAACTAGTAAAACTAAGGTATGGTAACTGCACCAAGGAAGATTATTCCTTTCCTGTGCCTGAGCATCTTATATTATAGTAGTGCGCCTTCTAGTGGACACAATTAAAACAATTAAATATGGTGGAAATAGATACACCAACTTTTCAGTGTTTAAAATATTTAGCACTGTTCAGTTTTTTTTATGAATTTAATGCAAGAAAGGATTCATTGCATCATTATTAATTTTCCTTGATTAACTTTTTGCAGTCTGTCAGACAACAATGTGACTGACCAGGCTGGAGAGAAGCTATTGGCAGCACTATCCCACTGCAGAGTTCTTCAGAAACTACAGTAAAACATTTATTTTATTTGATTAATGAGTGATATTACTCGGGAAATCAGTAGGTGATCATTTTTTATTATTATTTTGTATTCACAGACTGTCCAAAAACCAACTTGGTCAGGCCAGTGCTGCTAAACTAGCACAAGTCGTTCCGTTACTGCCTCAGCTTTCAGAACTCAAGTAAGTCCTGTGGTCTTGATGGTGAAAAATTACAGAATTAATTTGAGATGAAACTATTGGTTTAAAAAGATGTCACTGACAGGGAATAATACAATTGTTTTTATTTAGTTTGTCAGAGAATCAGTTTGGCCAACAAGGATCCATGTCTCTTTGTGAAGGTCTGATGAGCATGAAGGCACTAAAAATACTACAGTAAGACACTAAATACATTACAGAGCCACATACAGTCGGTACGGAAAGTATTCAGACCCCCTTAAATTTTTCACTCTTTGTTATATTGCAACCATTTGCTAAAATCATTTAAGTTAATTTTTTTTTCTCATTAATGTACACACAGCACCCCATATTGACAGAAAAACACAGAATTATATTGTATATAATTAAATACAATGTATTATACTGTATATAAAGTGGAATGTATAAATTTTTTACATCACATGCACTACCGTTCAAAAGTTTGAGGTCAGTATGATTTCTTTTAAAAGACATTCATACTTTTATTCAGTAAGGATGCCTTAACTTGATAAAAAATTACAGTAAATACATTCATATTCTAACATTTCTATTCATTCATATCAAGGTTTCCGATAAATAAATAAATAAATAAATATTAAGCAGCACAACTGTTTTCAACACTGATAATAATTAATGTTTCTTGAACACCAAATGAGCAGATTAGAATGATTTCTGAAGGATCATGTAACACTGAGGACTGAAGTAATCGCTGCTGAAAATTCATCAATGCCATCACTGGAGTAATTTGCATTTTGAAATATATGAAAATAAACAGCTATTTTAAATTGTAATAATATTTCACAATATTAATGTTTTATTGTATTTTTGTTTAAATAGATGCAGCCTTAATAAGCATAAGTACGGAAGTTCTAAGCGGCCATGCATGCTTTTTTTTTTTTCCTTCTTGTTTTCTCGTTATAACGACTTATTTTCTCGTTATATCGACATAACGAGAGTTGTTTTCTCGTTATAACGACTTATTTTTCTCGTTATATCGACATAACGAGAGTTGTTTTCTCGTTATAACGACTTAATTTTCTCGTTATATCGACATAACGAGAGTTGTTTTCTCGTTATAACGACTTAATTTTCTCGTTATATCGACATAACGAGAGTTGTTTTCTCGTTATAACCACTTAATTTTCTCGTTATATCGACATAACGAGAGTTGTTTTCTCGTTATAACCACTTAATTTTCTCGTTATATCGACATAACGAGAGTTGTTTTCTCATTATAACGACTTAGAGAAAATTAAGTCGTTATAACGAGAAAACAACTCTCGTTATGTCGATATAATGAGAAAATAAGTCGTTATAACGAGAAAACAAGAAGGAAAAAAATAATAATGCATGGCCGCTTAGAACTTGAGACTTTTTTAGGAAACATTTACAAAACTTATTGACCCCAAACTTTTGAACGGTATGTAACATGATTGGTTGTTAGATACTGCTGCATACTGTAAACCAGTGTGACTACTTGTCTCTCAGTTTGACTTCGATTGGGAGTTCAGATCTGGTTGGTGTTGCCTCATCCCTCAAACACTGTCCGTCCATAGAGGACGTCAGGTGGGATAAGTAATTTCAGATTTCTTTTAATGCTGCAGTTTGACTGATAAATGCATGGACCCAGACATTGCATTGTCCCGGTCCCTTTGTTTGTGTGTGTTTGTAAAGTTGCTGTTAGTTTATGAATGAATGTCTTCCTCAGCTTGTCATGGAATTTATGTGATGACAGCCTGGCACGGACACTGGCTGAGATTCTACCCCTGTGTACAAAGCTGAAAAGACTTGAGTAAGTACTTGAGTGCTTGCTGTGAAGGTTTAGCTATTAGTGTGATCACAATATACTGATGTCATTAAAACTAATGATTGCAGCCTGGAGGCCAATAATATCACCACAGCAGGAGCCACAGTAATAGCCAAATGCCTCCCATCATGCCCCTCCATTGAAGTAATAAGGTATGACTAGCACTTACACTCTTGATCAGACAATTTGTGATTAATAAGGATCAACTAGTAGAACTGCTTGACATGCAAATAAAAAGCTGAGCTTCTCTGCATTTTACACAGACTCTGGAGGAACCCAATTGCCAAAGAAGATGAGAATCTGAAAGATCAGAGACTTAATTTTTCATCAGTTTAACCACTTATGTTTTCCTCAATTTTTTTTCTTCATTTTTTTATATTGTAAATAATATTGTTGAAGTGCTATTACCAGATTTTAAGATTGAGTTATTTAATCGGAGAACACATTACCTCATTAGAGCAATTCATTACACAAAAACAACAACAACACAGTTTCCAGCTGTTCAGGGACTTGAATCATTGAATGTCCATATAATGGAAATAGTAGGCTCTGGTAAATAAAGAGAATGAGCAGGTAACCCCCCTTACCTTTACAAGAGATTTACATTTTCTGTGGATTTTCTAACTTGCAAGAATTAGAAACAATGAAAATGTGACTAATTAGCACAGTGAAGCATGCAGGCAGCTCTCTTGTAAAGTTCAGCACAGTCATGCTCTTTGCTTATACACTGCCATAAGAGCCCAGACCTCCATTAGGGGCATTCATGCATTTATCAACCCTGGACACAAACCACCATGTTGTGTTCTCCTGTAAATTACGTATTTATGTCTGTATTTTACTCGATCTATTGAGCTTTTACCTATAAATTGTTTTATTTTATTTTATTTTTGAATTGTGGCACCTGTAAGGTGAAATTGGTCTGTTTTGTGGTAAACGCACAAACATCCTCTCTGATAGCTGCACTGATACATTTGTATTCTATTCATGTGTTTTTTATGTGCACTTTCAATTTAAATAAAGGTAATTCTTCAAGTTCTTTTTTAATGATATTTTGGACAACAGTTCTTCCATTATTTAACCACATCTCAAAATAGAATAGATAGAGACACAAAATGTAACCTTTAGTCCGACATATAGTGAGTTATAGTGTCTTAATAATAATATTATTATTATTATTATTTAATTAAAATATATTTCAAAATGGCAGGCAGATTGTGGTAGTCTGTTATTTGTAAGGGAAAATATTTAAAAAATGGGCCCTTTTTTTCAAACACTTGCACGGTGCAGTATTTCTGCTAGATGGCACTAAAGCAACACGGTCAATCTTGTAAGGCTGTGGACTGCTGTGTTTTATCAGGAAGAACTGTTCACTTGGATTAAATCACACATTCCCGTAACTATGATGTACAACATAATCAAGAAAAAGAAAAACACAACTTATGTCCATACGCCCATTTTATATCGGTCAACAATGATGATGAAGAGCACATCCATTCAAAGCGTATATCAAAGAGCCCCCTACACATTAAAAATACATTTAAAATTAGTTAAATTAGCTGGCATGAAACAGTAGACAATGCATATATTTGATTTAATTACCTATAACATATTTTCCCTCAGAAGTTCTTCAGAACAATGCGTGCGCGTTCCGTGCTCTTCAGCAAAAATACACCAAGATATATAAACGTATAAAACTCAAGCGTGTTACTTTCATTCCTTTTCTTCTCTTTCTTTTCAAGCTCTTTTCGATTGTGGCATAGCTCAGAAGAGACTAGCTCATAATAATGACAGATGTGGACACGGGCGGAGTTCAGAGATGTGAAAACTACACACAACTCAACTGTTGGCCACTGAGCGCACGGCTCTCGAGTCTGCACGCGCTTTAACCACAGCGAAGCGCTTTCTTCTTAAACCGCCAATACATTACATTTACACCTTTTTTGCTGGATAATTCAGACAACCCATAATCTTTTCGAAACGCAGAGTTTCTGCCACCAGCACTAGAAACTACCACAGAAGGAGACGCTGAGGAAAAGTAGGCTGCGTATTGCGCGAGAGCTTCGAGAGGTGAGTTATTATTGAGTTATACAGTGACTTTATGAAGTAATCATTCCCATTCACAAACACGCAGGGTTTGTTACATGTTCACTTCTGAAAGGAAGTAACAATGAACATAAAGAGTTCCGGTGTGCACGATTAAGAAAACAACAACCTGAGAAGCCAAAAAAAAAAAAAGCCTAAAATAATTATGCGTTATTCAAAGCATCACAACAACAAACGAGACCTCTGAACGTTTTAAGTTAATTGCGTCACATAATCGTGTCTAAGATGATTAAAATTAAAAATATTTTATGAATACAGTTGCCATACGTGCATTTCTTAGAAATGTCATCTTTGAAGGATGAATTCAGGTAAAAAGGACCATTCCAATGTCAAGAAGTCGCCTTACCTGAATTCACTCTTATTCCTGTTGGGTACATAAATGTTTTGGAAACATCTATACATGTATGTAAAAAAATATAGATTTAATGAATTAAAACCTGTCAAGTGGTGTAACCGAGTATAAAATAGGCTACCACTTTCCTTGCACCTTGAAGACATGTTGGTGTATGTGTATATTTAAAACACTAATCATATTTAAAATAAAAAAAACTTTCTTGGCTGTTTGTTTTAAAGAAATAATAAAAACTAACCATAGCACTGAGTTGTTGTTTTTTCCAGATTTCTGAAAACGTACACTGCCTAGACATTTTTGACTTCATGCTCAACAAAAAAATATCAATGTGAGTTTGAATTCAGAAATTGAAAACATGCTCATCATAGAAGAGATGTGTGGAAGTTTTTCTTTGCATGACTGCATTTTAATTCTAACTTAATAGATCAAGGCAAAAAAGAGTGCCACTTCATTGACCCACTTGCTTTTTTACAAGTTGGATAATTTTTAACTGCATGTAGACTGCCACAACTTCCATTCATGTTGTTTTACAGTTAGTCATTATAAACTTTTTTCGACACTGTATGGCTCAACACCTTATCATAGAGTCAACAGGATGTTGCGCTTTGTAATATTTAAGTGTAGATAGATATTACAAAGAAAGGTGATGCTTAAACTGCAGCACTAACTCAACTCACATAGATGCTTGAATAATGGTCTTTGAGCCCACAATGTTGACATTTTCAAAAATATTAGAACATGTAACCTATAGCTAATTTAGCTAACCCAGAGTTTTAGTAAACAAATTAATCACAAAAAGCAAACTTACTGTCAGTATTAATAAGAGATTATTTACTGCACCTATTGAGATTAAAGAGCAAATGAAAGTGCAAATTGATATCAGGTACTTTAGATCTTCCTCTTTGCTGCTAGTTTGCACTGTTTAATCCTATTGTACCATGAAGATAATGCACAACAGTATGATAGGGAAATTATGTAATTATGTTGTAATTGTTAAACTCCCTTAAATGGAAAGTCTCTAGATGTTTGATTTTTGGTAGTTTATGTTCCATGTCTGGAGGGTTGGCACTCAAATACAGGAAATCAGATAAAATCACAGTTATTTAGGAGTATTGCAAATGACCTATAGGTAACATCTTTTTTTCCTTTAAGGGAATGTTCAGGGTTTAATACAAGTTAAACTTGCGATTAGCACCTCAGTTCACAAAAACAAACTAAAGTGTATGTGGAATCTATGTGGCTAGGCAGAAGTGAAGCTCATATTTTCTTCAAATATTTCTATGAATTATTCCATAGGGAAACATTTTTTGAGTGTCTATATAATGGACAATATTTTTCCATGTAAACAGTTCTTTGTAAATAATTGTCACATACTTTTTAGATATTGTGCATTTTGTATGAAACTGCATTTACTTACAGTACATGGTCAAGACAAGAGTTGAAATATTGGATGTCATGTTGTCCCTCATGATAATACAATATAATATAATGTAATATAATATAACTATTTATATGCATATATACATATCAGATAGTATGGATAGTTTTTCATGGCACAACAATGAAATATGGTTGCAATTTTTTATGACTACAGTCTGCATTGTTCTTTATGATTATACTTTAGCAATACTTTAATTTAAATGGTTAATAAAATCATAACAATTTACTCCATGTTTGATTACAGCCTTACACTTGTTTTCCACTCTAATGTCTAGCTGTGTGCTATCTGGCACTGAACCTGGGAGATAAGTAATGAAGTGTTGAGTTGATGATCACTTAGGTTAAGGCAACGTGTTGCCATTTGGACCTTAAAAGGGGCGGGATAAGACGCTGAATGATTTTATGGACATTATTCCCAGACAACAATAGTTAAACTAGGATGCCAGGTTAGGTGGAGGATTACTCATTTGTGGAGTGTTTTTTGACATTGCATGAATTACACGTGTCTCATCTGGGTGTGCGCTTTCTTAAGTGAGATTTAAGCGCACACTGTTGAGACTGTGTATCCCGTTTTCCATGACATCACAGTCATGTGGAACATGTCATTATTCTGGGAATGGTTACCAGCACCGCACTATATAATGCTAATTTAAATACAGAGTTCATTTAGAATCCGAACAACCCTAGAGGTTACAAAGATGCCGTTTTGGGATGGAAATTCAGGTGAGTTTTCATCTCATTTCCTAACTGATCAGGAAAAGTTTCTGTTGTTTATAATTTAATGTAACAAGCTTGTCAAAAAAACACAGGCCCTCATTTTCTCAAAATCAAGCGTTGAGGTTACAGTGAGACATTTACAATGTAAATATGCAGTACAATTTTGTAGGTCTTAAAAGCTGAAATGTAAATCTAAATTTAGAAAAACACAGACTTTAATTCTCCTGTGAAAATTTGTGTATTATTTAAGTTTTTAGGTTTAAATCACCATTTTTACAGTCATTTTAGAGTTTTACGGCTTTGTGATGCCATGTCAAAGATGTCAAAGTAAAAATTAGTATAACTTTACAGAGAATAGGTTAGTAAGCAATTTTACCACACTAAAATCATATTTACACAAGTGATCTTGTGTAAATAACCTAAGTGATCATATTTATTGTTTGTTATTGTGTATATATATGTATTTTAGTGTTTAAGAATTTACCCTATTTACTTCCATTGTACAGTAAGTACCTCACTGTAAACCCGATTTATTATTATTTTTTAAGTTGACAATTTGACATCAGCACCACTGGAAATTATATACAGTTCTTAATCGGATCAACTTCCTCTTGTTAACATGAGAAGTTGTGCTAACGTTGATGTACTGGGATTCTATGTAACATGATTGTGAAGTCATTTTTCATCATGCTTTGTCTATGGTGGTCACAGCCTAATTGTGGTTTGTGACATTAACACAGAAAGAGACAGTGGTACATCAGTATCTAAGCAACAAGAGCCCTCGCTGTATTCCTCATGTCCTGGTGTGACGCTCGTGTTCTGTGTGTGCGTGTCTGTGGGCACTGATGCGTGTGGAAATCATAGGGGGTTTTCATGTTCAGTGTTTCTGAGGAGTTGTTTGTCAGGGGACCATGAACCCAAGCATCCCTGTCTCAGACATGTGGGCAAGTCATTTTTGTGAGAAAAGGTCAAACAATGATGTGTAATTCATTTCTTTACAATTTTGTTACATGTTAGTAATTTAGAGGCCTTAGAAATGTGTGTCAAATATGATACAGTAGGTTTTGTAGGGTTAATATTGTTGGGATAATGCTACTTAAAAGAATTAGACATTAAGACATACAATGGGGTCCACAGGTCTGAGACCATTGGTGAAAATGCTTCAGTTTTGCATTAAAATTATAGTAGCAAAATAACAATTTGAGGGGAAAAAATTATTTTAAAATTGTTTACCCTGGTGGGAAGACCTGACCTTTTATGAAAAAGCAATTAACATGCTCAGCATTATAAATGTGCTTATTTTAGTGTCTTAGAAATCAAAAAAATTCTGAATATCAATATCATATAATTAAATTAATATTATTTAAAGTAATATTAAAATACTTAATAATTTTATGTCATA